CTTTCCAATCAGACCCTATCCCTTGCAGGCTTCGTCGTTTTCTGGCTCCTCTTTTTGACCTTTCTCTTTTCCTCCTTTTTTCTCCTCTTTTGGCTGTTTTTCTGCCCCCAGCTCACCTCGCCCACCCTCCATCCATCGTTTATTTACCCACACACACCAATTTGAGATCCTCATCCGCTAGCACCGTCGATCCGCCGTCCGGGTTCCGCGGTGCGCTGCCAGCCAGTCAGAATGCGATCTCTCCCGCCTATCGCGCCCAAGCTCGCACCTAGGAACGGCACCAAAGATGCTACTGTGGATGGACGCGTCTGGGCAGCCGGCTTTGAACCGGGCTGCACAAGCGCTGCTGTTGTGGGCTATCCGCCTGCTCGTTTGCACTCTCCTTCTGCCCGTTTTACTCTTTTCACGTCGACCGATCGTTCTCGCTTCTGCAGAGGCCCCGGCAGCTGAAGAGGGCCCAGGAGCTGGTATCGCCATTGCAGCACTCACAGAGACTCACTCACTAGGCCGAAAAGAAATCAAAATACGACGCTGGGAGGCACTTCCGGGCCACTGGGTGGCTACTCTCACTGCGCCGTCATTTGTGTGTCATTTCAGCTGCTTCTGCATCTTCTGGCTCTCACAATCCCATTTGCTTTCGCCTTTCGCGTTTCCTTTCGTCCCCTTCTGCAAGACGGTGTATTCCCACCGTAGCATCAGCTAGGCTCCGACAATTCGGGCTGACCCTGGATCCGTCCGCTGTTTATCCACGAGATTTGAAATTTTGGGACGAATACGACTCGGCCGCCACTGGCACCGTCCCTCTGTCTTAACATTTTCCCATTTACTATTTTATCGTATTTTGTCGCTTGTTTCTTCACGGCAGCGTTGCATTTTTACGGTGACGATCATATTTATTCTCCTTTGATAAATATTGCTCAATACGACGCTCGGTTTTAATTGCGATCTTGCAATTTTGCGCTGTTGCTTTTCCATTTCTCCATGAGCCTCGGCCCCGTTCCTTCGTATTTGTTTTTGCCCATTGTTTACTTTTTCCTCTTTCGCTGCTATTATTCACGGTTCCTTCTTCTCGTTCTCCAGCGTTTGATGCTTGAACAGTTGCTACTGTCTCACAGGCTCTGCTCTAGTCACCGGGCCCAACGACCACTGCCTGTTCTCCTTCTACTTGCCCTATTGGAGCCGCAATTTTTTTAGTCTCCTCGTTTTATTTGTCGTGTCCGCCATCCTGAATCCATCAGTCAGGATTACTGTCACGGCTCTTTGTACGAGCAGTCCCTGCCCCCTCCCTTCCGACCTGCAGATGTTGTGCCCTCGACCCAGCAGCCTGTCACTTTTTTGCACATCACCTGGCCACAGTCACGCCTTTCTTGGACTTCTCTGGGTATTCGCCCTGTTTATTTCCTCCAACACTCTTTTCCGAGCTGCAGTGTCCCCGCTCGTTTTCCCAACCACACTTATGCGCGCGTCTCCACCCTGTGCAGATGATCGGCAGACAGGGGTAAGGCCGCTCTGCATACACCCAGACCTGGCCCAGACCCATAATACCCATGCCACCGGTCCAAATGTACCTCATAAACACACAAAATGCACAGCGTAATGAACGACGCACAAACACACACACAAATCCTATCCCCGCCATATCCCTGGGTTCTTCCCTCTCAGTCTGTCTCCCACCCTCTAACTCTCTACCCCGGCCGCAAATCCTGCCCATCATCTTGGGTTTCGTGATTAGCTCCCAATGATACAAATAACAAGTGTGTGCTTGCTTGCTTGCGCGTGTGTCATTGTCTTGGAATTTGTTGACGTTACCACTCACTTTCAGGACACAAAAACTGCCCCATGAAAGAGCTACGATATACAAAACATCTTAACGACAACAAATATCTGGGTCTCATCCAATTATGAAGTACTCATTTTGACCATTGCCTGTCGCTATTCGCTTTCATCCGAGCTTTCGTTTTCTGTGGCATTCGTTTTGGTTCTCATCCCTTGCAGGTAGGCTGTCACCTCTGTCTGCAAGTCTCATCTATCAAAGCTGTCACCAGGGAGAGACACGGCGCCAAAGTTCTCAGTAGGATAAAAAAAAGGCCGTTGTCCAAGAAGAGCTCGCGCCCTGCAGCTTGGCTCTTGCACTTCTGTCATTTTGTGACGGTTTCTTGTTTCTTGAACTTGCGCCTCCTGCATCATGGTTGCGTCTTGCGCCTCCGCCCCTCTACGTTTCCTTGTCAAGTCTTGGTGTGGCCCGCACGACGACATTTTAGTTCGTTAGTTTTACATGGATCCTGTTTCGTTCTCCCATCACCACTGAGACATCTGCCAGGTACGAGAGTACTTTGCAGAAAAAGAAAGGGACGCAAAAGAGCTGGCGCCCAGTGAAAAGGAGGGGTCTTCCGATGGAGAGACGACCGGTGCGAATTTTTAAAGTAAGCACGAATTGTCAGACGAGCGCGTCAGTGCATATGACAACTGACAAGAAATGCAAAAGATGCGCGCACAGCGTCCTGAAAAACGACTTACGGACACAACAGATTACGGAAGCACATTATAAATCAAGCGCACAGGACAGAGCTGGCTATTTATCACTCTCACATGCAAGAACGCACCGACCACGGCAGACGACACAGAAGAAGGGAGACAATTACGATAAGGCTACGGGGCCCACCCGACGGCGTGGGCTGCAGTCACACAGCGATCGGTACTTGAAAGATATTTACTCAACTCGGCATTACAGCGTCCGTCGTACGACATAAATCCGGTTCAACTACCAGTCACAAAATAAAATGCCCCGTGCATCGCACTAGGGTGTCAACATGCACGTTGGCAATCCCATCTACCTATTTGGGCCTCCAGTCACCTCAATGCGTCGACGGGTCTGCTTTTGCCCGTTGTCAGTTGCCCTGGTCGTCTTACTGAGTACGACGAATCACTTGTTTGCGTCTTTTCCGGCCTCCCTGCATCGGGAACCTAGGGCCAAGGATATGCACCGGGATGCTTCTGGACGTTGGCAAGCAACGAGACGCATCTCTGAGCATATTCCTGGCTTTTTATTGCTGGTTTGCTGAGGTGTAATTTAATTTGCGATGTGCAGGCACTTTCTTGGTGCTTAGTGCTCCGTATGCGTGCATCGCACCAACAGAAGGCATGGAGAAGAAACAAACGACGAGCAAAACATCCAGAGGCAAAGCCAACAAAATCGAGAGGCTCAACAGGGTCGACAGGGACTTTCTAATTTCAAGACGGACTAAAACACGAGAGACACCATGCACTACCCTGCGTCTCCTATCGATTTTTGACGAGGTTTCCTGTGTTGATTTTTTTTGTTGGTTCCTTGCGTCCTAAAGTGTGTTCCTGGCTCCCTGACTTTCCTGTTTCTTTATTCTCCTTGTCGGTGTCTTTCCCTAATTGTACAGAACCCTGATCTGCTCTGGGTGGTTGATCTTCCTTTTTTTTTCCTATCCCAACGTCTCTCCGGAGCAACGAGTCTGAGTACGTTTTCCTCTTTCAATAGAGCCTGCTACACGAGGTGTCTCGGCCGGCTCCTCTCCTTTTCCTGGACGTTTCTGGCCCATTGGCTCCTACTGGTCCGTCGAGTCAACAACGCAGCAACAAGACTCATATTCTCTCGTCGTTTCGCCATTCTACTGCTTCGCAGATTGCCACGTTCGTTCCCCGTCCCGTAATCGATACATCGCCTCTATGACATACGAGGTACGACATATTCTGAGATACATCAAGTTGCACACCATTCGTTGTCAATCCTAGGCTAGCCTTTATCTTGAGCACGGAAGAATCGCCTGTGGTGCACGAACCAAATATAAAGACGATAAAAACGAAAATGCAGCCAGTTCCGAAATACCCCCCCCCTGGATGTTCACACCCTCCGTATCCACTCGCAGAATGCACCCCCTGCACACAACCCCCTCTCAGCTCAAGCTGATTGAGCTGGTGTGGTTGTCTCTCTGGGCCATGCTAGTGGGTCTCTTCTTATTTTCTTTTTTCTCCTGGGACACTCGTCTGCTTGTGCATTTATCACTTTTCCCTTCTGTCCCACTTCAATACTTGTATCTTTCCTATTGCACTGCTGCGCCGAGCTACATCTCCCCATAACCAGCTTCTCTTAACACACCCTCTGTCGATCCGCCCATCTGATCTGCCCTGGGGCCTGCCCTCGGTTGTTTTGTGGGACCTGGCTCTTCACTTGCTCTGGGTCTGTCTCTTGTCTCTGTGTGTGCCTTTTCAATTCTGTCACATTTTCCCAGTCCTGGCCGTCTCTCGTCATGTCCTATGGAGCAGTTTTGTTCTGTTCTCTTAAAAGACCGTCTTTGCTTCTTTCTTGCTACCTGTAATTCGTCACACCTCTTACCCCCCTCCCCGGGACACAGCACATCAAGTACATGTCCCCTCCAACGCCTCCTCTTCTCTTAACCCATCTCTCCACTCTCCACTCTTCTGCATCTTGCGACTTTGGTCCAGCGTCCCGGGTACTGACACCTTGTCCCCTCCTTGGCTTTCTCCTCTTTCCCTGTCGTCCACCACCCCTGTCCAACACCATTGTCATCGTTCGAGTCCTTTTCCGTCCTCAAGGAAAGAAGCAGAGGCAAACCATTCTACGATCGAGAGACATCCACACGCACTCACTCAAACTCACGCAAGTCACTCGATCGACTCCTCCGCCCCGTCGTCAACTATTTTATATCCAACGTCCGCCCGCTTCTTTGCCCATCACCATTTCTCGTTCTTGTCTTGCTTTTCCATTCTTTATATCAGTCCCATTTCTCCTCCATCCTCCCTTCGATACCGTTTCTCTTCTTCTTTTCTCCATCTTCCTCATCCCTTCAACGTCTTTTCCTCCCTCTCAGCTCCCGTACCACGGGTTTTGTTTTCAAGTCGCTCCATCTTTGTCTTGCATCGATTCATTGCATCCCTTTCTTGCCCCCTGTGGTCTTTTCCACAAAGCAACATCACAGTAACACAACAACTGCTACACCTCTTTTGTCACTATGGCTGTCAAGACTACGACGGCCAATATGCTACAGAATGGCCACCGCCGCCGTGTTAGCAAGCCAATCCTTGTGCGCGGCAGCCAACTGAGCTCGCGCTACATCACCGAACGCCGCATCAAGCACGAGCGTAGGCTCCGGAAGCAGCAACAAAAGCAGCAACAGCAGCAACAGCAGTCTGTCACATCTTCCGCCACGGCTACGCCCGAGCCCTCAACACCGCCTTGTGAATCAACTTCCTTCCAAGGTATGACTCCCGAGAAGAAGGAGGCCCTGCAGCACATCCTGGGCCGCACTCTCGACGACAAGGACCGCTCGGCCGCCGACATCCTGGCCACACTCTATGTGACGGGCTTGCTCGACCGCAAGACGCCCACTACAGCCGAGGCCTCTGGTGCCACGACCCCCATTCGTATGTTTCTTGTTCTTATTCTTGCTGGTGCCCGTTTCGCTTTTTGAATTTTTCATGGCAATTCTAACAGCACAAGACGAATCCGATGTTGAGCCCTCCGAGGTTGCTCTTCCCAGTATGCAGCAGACCGAGGGGATGCTGGAGGTCTGGCGCTCCGACCGCCGCAGTGGTGTCAAGGCTTCTACCACCACTTCCTCAGCCTCGTCTTCTGAGACCGTCGAGGCTGAGTCCACCGCTGCTCTGTCATCGTCGCCCATGACGCCAGCTCTGTCGTCGTCGTCTTCCTCTTCGGCTGCGGCCAGTGCCCGGTCGTCTTTCTCCACAGGTTCGCCGGACTCCCAGTCCGCCCAGCGGTCTTCGGTCTCGGGTCCACCGCCGCCACCTTACGATGCCTGGCGCAAGAGCATTGGCACCACCCATAGTGAGGCCGTGCCTACGACTTCTGTGTCGGTTCAGGCTCCTCTGCCTGCTCCTCTTTCCGCCACCAGCAAGGTCACGCAGAGCCCCTTTTCAACTTACGAGCAGAACTACTTCTGCTCTTCTCGCCGCAAACAGAAGACTACTGGTCCCAATGGCATGCCCTCGCCTCCGCAGTCGCCCACAAATGCAGGCCGTCCCAGAGAGTATAGTTATAAGCCGGCTACCATGCCGACGCTGCCGTCGCTGCCGTCGTTCGCAAATCTGCCCACGCCGCCCCAGTCCTTCTCGGCCTCGATGCAGCCGGCTCCTTACCACCAGCCTCACCAGCTGGCGTACCAGTCTCAGACCGCCTACCAGCCCCGCTATAACCCACAGTACGAGCTGCCCGCACCCATGCCCACCTCCACGCAGCGCCGCAGCATCCACGGTGGCGCCGAGGACATTACCACAACAGTTTTGACCCTGCCGCCGCCCGGCGTTGGATCATCGCTGGAGCCTCTGACGCCTGTGTCGCCTCTGACGCTCCCCAGTGCGTTTGGCCGCCGTGCTACCATGCCCGTCATGCCCAGTGTGGCCACCATTATCAACGGGCCTTACCACAACAGCCCGCGCATGGCTGCCAAGATGGACGCTCGCCGTGAGCGGATGTCATCGGCCTCGTCGCCGTCCACCTCTTCGGCTAGCAAGAAGGCCATGCCCAAGCCACACTGCAACGTCAAGTACGAGACGGCCGAGCTTGACTTTATCATGTACCAGCGCACCACCAAGAACCGGGCTTGGGACGATGTGACGGCTGCCTTCAACGCAGCGCTGCCGCGTCTTCGCCAGTACGCCGACATGGACTCTGCCCGCCTGAACGGCGTTGGTCTTGCCGGTGCCACCTCGCCTGGTGGCTCGGACAAGATGGACCGCTACCGCGCCCGCCCGGAGCGCACGACGCCCGGCCTGCAGGCTTCGTACTACCGCCAGCGCCTGGCGCTCCCGCTGCTCGACGAGAGCGGCCAGCTGGTCTTTGACGACGCCACCAACAAGCAGCTCTTCACCGAGGTCATGGTGCGCGACGACAAGAGCCGCAAGAAGCTGCGCCGCATGACGACGGGCCCCACGGCTGTGGCTCCCACGGCCACTCCCTTGTCGTCCAAGGCCAATCCGGACGATGCCCGCGTCCACCTGGTGCTCTACTTCCCCGAGCGCGTGACCTACTACGACTACTGGTTCGTGTCCGACGAGGACAAGGCTCTGGCGCGCCAGCGGACGTACGAGCGCAACATGCAGCGCCACCAGCGCGGACTGCCCTCGTGGCAACCGGGCAACGATGACCCGGAATCGGGCATCTTGACTCGCAAGGAGTAACTCTCCTCCCTCATTCCCGTCTTCCTTCCCTCTTTCCATCCTGTGCTCCGACCACCGACTTTTGACGACTTTATCCTGTATTATTTATGTGTTTTTTTTTCTTTCTCGTTTTATTCCCCGATACGTCGTCTCCCGTGTCTCTCAACTGTGTCATGTCTTGATTTTGCTTCCCGTGTTTTCTTTGCACCTGTTTTTCTCTCTTAACCTTCTTTCTGTTCCCCAAAAAGTCTCCTCTTGCATTCGCAGACGACAAGACATGACAAGACACCCACACATTGCATTGCACGGCTTGCATCCAACATACCACACCTTTGCATCTTGCATTTGCATGGCATCCACCAAAGCGAGCATTTGGCCAGCAAAACTTTTTTCGGTCCAGCCCCTGTTACACATACTTTCTTGTTCCGTGTTTATTTTTTTATGTTTTTCTCGTTTCTTCCTCTGCAAGTTTCGTTTTGCTTTTCTTATCCACTCGTGGTTCAACCCAGTGGACAATGTGTATGATGGGCTATCAAGAATAATGGTTTTCTTGGTTTTGTGTTTTCGTTTCTGGTTTTCTATTTCAACGAGGGAGACGCAACATTGTTTTGTTGCAACCTGTACGACTATCTGTGTATGATAACCGCTATTTGATTTTGTGGTTTTTTGTTGATATTTGCTTTTATTGATGTGTTGATGGACCAAGGAAAAAAGGAATTTATGGATTGGTTTTGTTTCCAATACCAACTTTATTAAAAGGCCTACCACTTCTGTTCGCCATGCGTTTCGTATAACCTCGCTGTACGAGTCGAAGACAGGACGTTGTCAAACGTCGGTTGCGGTTCCTGTCTGTGAAAGGATAAAGAGACTAATAAATAGCATTGGCCAAAATCATAATACTGTTCTCATACGTTCGACAAACTTGCAAACCGTCTTCCGGGAGCCTACTGACTTTTAAATTCTGACGCGTTTATTTGTGACTTCATTTTCATTTCCTTAAGAGTTCTTTTTTTACTACTTACATTTGGCCGTCTTTTGATGTCATTTGGTTTTATTGATATATTTCAGTAGATATTTTTTGAAACCAAAAAATGTACATATTGATAAGAAAGAAACCTGTTGAAATAGCTGTGGGAATCGTGTTGTATATATAGAGATCAAAAATAGAAATCGAAAAAAAGAATAAAAACTCCTAAGCCGGGTACTTGTTCGCTGTTGTTCCATGGACCATCTGGTTGATGCAATACCTCCCATATCCGCTTTCCCTCTTCCTTGACCGGCCGCCGTTTCCACATCCCCACCGACGTTCTGTCCCAAACTTGCTTTAAAAGTCTGATCTAAAGTCTTTCATCTCGTCTTCATCGTTTTCTGTATCTCATTTTCCCTTCTTGTGCCTCGTCTGCGTGTATGGCAACAACATACACTCCCTCGTCCTCTCGCATCTACTGTGTCTGGACTTGGGCCTAGGCCTGCATCTGGGCCTGGCACCAGGGATGCTCAAGCACCTCGTCAATGGTGATGCGCTGGTTCACGTTGCGGTTGAGCATCTTGCGGATCAGGTCGATGCTGTCGTCGCTGATCGTGTAGGGGATGCGCAAATCGCGGTCCATGATCTCGTCGATGCTGTAGAAGGGATTCTCCTTGTAGATGATGGTGTACAGCAGGATGCCGAGAGCCCACACGTCTTGTTCCTTGCCGCCGTACCGGTCACCGGCCAGGACCTCGGGAGCAGCGTAGTCTGTGTACGCAGTTGGTTAGCACAAGTCAAACAAGTCAAAGGAGCCCATTGCAGCGACGGACAAGGAAACCCCGACAACGGGGACATACCGATTGTTCCGACAAAGACGTCAAAGGGCCCGCTCTTGATGTAGGCGGCACTGCCAAAGTCAATGAGCTTGATGTTGCCCTCGCCGTCCAAAATGACGTTCTCGTCCTTGATGTCGCGGTGCACCACCTTGGCCTTGGTGTGCAGGTGGTGGATCGCCTGCGCCACCTGCACAAAGATGCTGCGGCACTCGGCCTCGTCCATGTTGGTGCGCAGCTCAATGTAGTCAAACAGGTCCATGCCCGGCATGCCGTGCGGCTTCATCTCAATGTAGTAGTTAACGTCGTCCTCGAAAAAGTCCTCCATCTCGACAATATTGGGGTGCCGCAGACCGTCGCGACGCAGGTAGTCGAGGACGTGAATCTCCAGCGGGACCGTGCCCAGGCGGCGGTCGCGCGTCCACGTGTCGACCAGAATCCGCTTCTTGGTCACGTACTTGATGACGACGCGGCGGCCCGTCGCCTTTTCCTTGGCCAGCTTGACCTGGCCGTACGCGCCCTGGCCCATGTCCTCGAGGATGACGAAATCATCAATCGTCTTCTTGTGCGACCCGACGGCCGCCGTCACCTTGGAGACAGTGGCTGGCACGTTGTCGGGCTTTTGCGGGACTACCGTATTCGTGCTGTTTGGCGACGGCGCCGCCGCCGTTGTCGTCACCGTGATGTTCGCTTTTCCTGGCGACGCCGGTGGCTGTGTGGGCCCGGCCTTGGCCAGTACGGCAAGGTCGGGTGTCGTGGAGCTGGGCGTGGCAGTTGTGATTGTCACGGCGGGCGTGACGATCGAGGGCGTGGCCGCGGCTGTTTTGGCAGAGGTCACAGGGGGCAGCGAAGCCGGTGATGCGGACCGCAGGTGCGCATCGGCCGTGGTTGGCTGAGCGGCGGGCGCGGGCGACGGGGCCACGGAAGCCGGCCGGGACAGGCTGCTCGAGATCCGGCTTGCCGTGCTCAGCGCAGCCTCCTTGAGCTGCCGGGTCAGGGACTGCGCAATGGTTGTTTTCTCGGCACGCAGGTCCAGCTGGTCGTCGGACGGAATCTCCGGCGCCTCAAAGGGCGAGTGGACGGGTGTCTGGCCCGGAGACGGCTGGTGCAGGGGTGTTGCCGCGCCCGACAGGAGCGGGGAGGCAACGCCGCCCAGGCTGTTGCGCGTCGAGGCCGCATGCAAGTGCCGCGAGTAGGTGATCCACAGCGCATACACCATCTCCGACTTGGGGGCGCTGGGCGGGGGCGAAAGGCTGTCGCTAAACACAGACGACGTGGACTCGGCCTCGTCCTCCTCGTCGGCTTCGATGACCGTCTCCTCGTGGATCTTGGACTGCGTCTCGCTCTTGACCACGCGCATCTGCACATCGATCTTGAGTTCGGAGCCGTCACGGTGGCGACCAGGAAGGCCATCGGGGCGCAAAAACGCACTGGCGGCATCCGGGCGGCCCTCGCGCAGGGCCAAAAAGGCCGCGGCGCGCCGGAAGCTGTGCTCGGGAACCACGATGCCATCGACCATGCGGACGTTGTCGACCTCGACGAGGATCTGGAGGATCTTGTCAAACTCGGGCAAGAGCTGGTTGATGGAGAGACCATTGGGCTTCTCGTAGCCAAAGAGGGCACCGCAAAAGACCGAGTTGGAGCTCTTGATGGTGAGGGTCTGTGTCGACACGACAACGATGCCGGCAATGTGCGGGAAGCTGGAGACGCGCAAGGCGGCCTGGCCGCGGATCTGCTCGACGGTGGTGGGAATGCAGACGCGGTTGCCGTTGCGGCACGTATAAAACTTGCGGCGCGTGAGCTCGGCAAAGTCGACGGAGCCGGTGACACCGTCGATGCCTTGGCGGGCAATCCGCGGGATCAGCTTGCTAATGTCTGTGCCGGCCGGCAGGTCGTCGTCGCCCCAGATGGGTCCGGTGGCGCCGGAGATGGACGAGACAAATCCGTCCTCGTCAACGGCCACGGTGGCAACGTCTTCGTGGATCTCTTCCAGAACCCAGATCAGGCCCACGCGCTTCTCCTTCACCCACAAGCTGGCCGAGCCCGTCGCACCATTGCGCTTCTGGATGGGCACGACGTCGCCGCACAGAAGCACGCCGCGCGACCGGTTGTTGTTGTGGTGGCCGCTCACGCTTCCTGCCTTTGGCGACCGCGTGTTGATGGTGCTGGCACGGCGTGCCATCTGCTGTGGTGACGTGACTTGTCTGGTGCCGTTGCCATTCTGGGGTGTCTGTGAGCGCGAGTTCGGCTTGCTCAGGAGCTTCGCCGTGATGCCGCCACCACGCGCACCCAGCAGGCTGGATGTGTTGACAGCCGCCTTCTTGGGCACGGGCTGGGCAATGTCGCCTATGGAGGAGGAGCGTTGGGTGGTGTGGGCAGTGGCGGTGTTCTCGTCGCCGCCGCCGTTGTCGTCGTCGGCACCTTCGACGTGCTGGAGCTTCTTCTCCAGCCAGGCGCGACGTTCTTGCTGGACGACCTCGAGAATGCCCATCTTGCGGACTTCAGCCTTGGTCACGCCAAAGACGAGACAGGCCAGGTCGTTGGCGGCAATGATGGTGTATGGCGGCTTGGCCTCGGTCGTGAAGATGGCCTGCGCTGCGGGCACCCAGCGTGTGGGGTGGCCGTGTGCACGTTCGCCGAAATTGGCGGTGGCACTCATGGGCGATGCAAATGACTGTGCGGTGGCGGACAGAGGCGGTGCGGTTGTGGTGTCGGACTGTGCGTCGGCGGAGAGGGACAGCGATCGAGGGCTGACGCCGCCCGTGCCTGCTATTGGTGGCGCGACATAGGGTGTGGCGAGGGTGTCGAGGAGCCGCTGCTGCACGGCGACGGGCGTCAGATCGGTAAGAGTTCGCCGCAGGAGGAGGCTAGGTCGACGCGAGGTAGGCGGCGATGTCTTTTGTGTGGTGCCGCTCTCGTTGGTCGGTGTTCTTGACGACTCGGCCGAGTCCGGTGGGCCAGTAGCGGCTTCTGTGCGGTTGTTGTTGCTGTCGTCCTTGGAGACGGACGAAATCGACAGCGACGGGCGCTCGTCGCGGAGCTGGTGCATGGAGCTGTCTCGCGGTTGGATCGCGGGCACCGCCTTGGCCATGGCCAGTGGTGAGCTGGCGGCTTCGGAGACCGCGACGGATGGCGGCTCGCCCATCAGTTCGGGGCTGGCCGTCCTTGGGATAAAGTTGGCCTCAAAGACGTTTTCGCCAGACATGTCGGGTGGGCCG